ACAAAAGCCATCGCCTTGTCTGTGAAAAGGGCCAAATCTTATATGACAAATGTTTTATAGGCTTTGTTCCATGCTCTTGGTATGAGCGACAAAGATTACAAGTTTGGGTCCTCCAAGATTTTCTTCAGACCTGGAAAGGTTAGACATTGTTTCCTCACAACTACTATATTAAAAACAACGATCAGTTCTTAACTTCCGATTAAATACCGAGTCATCTCCAATGAAACACTACTTTAACATTTAGCTATCACTTCTCAATTTTAGTTCGCCGAGTTTGACGAGGTCATGAAGCAAGACCCAGAGAACCTGAAGATCCTTGTRGCYAAAGTCCAGTCCTGGTTGATCCGTACAAGATGGCGTCGTGCTATTTATGGAACGTTCTGCGTAATCAGACGTGAGTCACAGGCAGCCTTATAATAATAACCCTTATAATATTCTAAAAACAGATTAAGAAATAAAAGCGCGCGGCACCGCTGTATGATCGCGCGCTGTGAAAATGATGCGGATTAATCATCAGTATCAATACTTATTTTGCTACGCAGTGGCCAAGAAGATCAAGTACAGAGCTCAAGCAATTGTAAATATCCAAAAGTCTGTTAGGATGTTTATCGCCCTTGCCAAGCACAAACCCAGGTGACTTACTTAGCTATAATAGACTTTTACGTTACGTCACCTACATGATTCGAAATGCATTGTGGGATAAGTTTTTTGAGACAAAAAAAATCCGCCATGTTTGTCCCAATTATATGCTACAATGCATTGCGTTTCTGCTGTATGACGTTAAAGCTTCAGAGGCCTCTTTCTATTGTTGTCTTTCAGAGTGAGTATTTTTATCGATTTTAAATGCCAATAGACCTCTGAAGCTTTTACGTCATGTACCGTATACGCAATGCATTGTAGGACATGTTTGGAACATGGCGGATTTCTTTTGTTTTCTCTAAAAACTGATCCCACAATGCATTGAAAGTCAAGTAGTGACGTAAAAGGTCCAGAAGTCTATAGTAACTTTCGGCTGTGCATTTTGTCTGACAAACCTTTTACTAAAGGCTGTATAACTTGTCACTTTTGTTCAGATAYAAACACATCATCAAGATACGTCTGCTTGAGGTGCAAGTTAACAACATGGCAGCTTCAGGTATTTACAAACAAATGATACTGAGAAAACTTTTGGTTGGGTCGAGGAAGACTGACGCGACCATTCGCAATCCGTTTCCATCCATCGGTTAAAGGTCGAATCTTACAATATCTCCATTCATAAGCATAAAGGGATAATAAAAAATTTTTTTGCTTATATTAGAGTACAAACACTAAAATTGTGCAACATAAATACCACTAAGTACTGCTAAATTATGCTAATTCCATTGTTTTCTATTGTTTAATTAACACTATTTTGTAGTAAATATTGTCAAGTATTGCACACATTTAATGTTTGTACTCTACGAATGTATTTTTATTTTCAAACATAAAYAAAAGCTCGAAAGGGATGCTGGTGGACCATGTCCCTTTAAGCGTACTWCACCTTATTGCCCTTTCAGTGTATTACACTTGGACTATTACAATTAGTTTCACGGGTTTAAGAAAACCACTCTATTTCACGTGTTTACGACACTCTATTACTATTATATTGTTTAGCATCTAAACTCAAGAAAGACAAAGACCTTGTTCTTAAACATATCAGCGGYGTCAACAACGATTTGGCAGCTGCCATTAAAAAAATAAAGGTAATCACTGAACATCACACTCATCAGGCAACTCTTTATTCCAACTTCGGGATTCCTTTGTAACCGCTAGAGACTGGTTACACCCAAAAAAGGCAGGAATTCCTTGACTCTTAGTGTCTTAGTGATGCGTGTGTGACTGTTTCTTTAGAAACACCGACGCAGCTCACACTAGTTTACCGTTAGTTTCCACCATTATTTGGTAAACTTTTCTGGGGTGTTTATAACGGACGTACCGTTAACCCTTCGTCGGAAAAAAATTTGTGTTAGAATTTATCTTATTGCACAACTGTTTCTTTAGAAAAACCGACGTAGCTCACAATAGTTTATCGCTAGTTTCCAGTCATTTTGTAACGTCTTCATTCCCCGTTTTCTTCAGGCAACAGTCATGCGTCGTAAGGACATCGAACAAGAATATTTCGCGTTGGTGCAGAAAGTTAACAACCAACTCAATGACTTGAACAAGAGACAGGAGCAACAAAAGATCGCTGAGGAGCAAGAACGTCTGAGAAAGATCCAAGAAGAAATGGAACGGGAAAGAAAGAGAAGAGAAGAAGAAGAAAGAAAACGGAGAGAAGAGGAAGAGGAAAGAAAAAGGTACTGTGGGAAATGGGACAAGAGTGAGAAAGAATGGGAGACATACAAGGTTATTCAAACCTTTTTGTTAAAAATGTTATTTTTTTTACGTCAAGGAAAATGGAGATTGAGCTTGCGAGGCAGCGTGAAGAGCAAGAACGCAAACGACGCGAAGAAGAGGAACGCAAACAGCGTGAGAAAGAGGAGAAGGACAGRCAGTTCCAGGTATCAATAATTATAATCATCATCATCATCATCATTATTATTATCAGAGTTTTAATTGCCGACCAGTTTAGCTGTTAGTAAGTATTGACGTACGCTTCATTTCATTAATACGGTTAAATACCAAGCAAAGACGTTGAATACAATCGGACTCTCATTTATCCTGGATCAAATTATATTACTCAATTGCTGCGCAATATTGATAAAACACTGATGAATTAAACATCAGTGCTCATCAGATTATACTGASTTTTTCAATTTTCTTCAGCTTGAGAAACAAAGACTTCAGGAGGAGGAGCAAAAGCGGTAAGTCAACACAGAAGCGTTACGCGGGGTTTACGTAAAGTATTWACGTAACAATCGTTCTTTCTTTCAGACAAGAGATGATTGAACAAGAAAGACGTGACCGTGAATTAGCAATGCGTCTTGCTAACGTAAGTTTTTGCGTTGCACTACGTATTCCCTGCGTATTCTTTGCGTGACGTTAAAAACAAAAGATGCCTATTAGTCTAAYCTTGCGCTTTTCCCCCTTCAAATTTGTCATGCGTGCGATCTTTGTTTACACATCCATAGCAAACAGCAAAATAATTTTTCAGTTTTCTTCGTTTTAGGTGTTTACTTTTTTTCATTTGATGTTTGTTAAATCTGAACTTTTTGTTTTACATCGCTTTGTACTCTGACCTTGTGAGATAAAGTATTACAAAATTATGCGTACGTAATGTTACGTACTTAATTCTAGTACGTTTTAATTGCGTTTCTCTTACGTATGTTACGTTAGGAAGAAGAGGCCGTCGCTGCTGAGTCAGAGCAATATCAACAACAGCCTTTACAGAGGTAAGAAAGTGACTCATTGATGAGTTGAATGCTGAATGTTGTCTATGGTCGGTTTACAGGATTGAATAATGCGCGTTTGGTTGTTGTTGATGTTGTTGTTGTTGTTGTTGTTGTTGTTGTTTTGTGTGTTTCTCTGAGTGTGTTGTTTTCTCTAAAGACATTTTGCATTTCCAGAAACCTACCAAGTAAGAAAGACAAGAAACACGATCTCAGCTCGTGGAAATACGCTGAACTTCGAGACACCATTAACACATCTTGTGGTAAGTTTAACTAAATGGGCTCCCTGTGCCTCAAGAAAGAAGAGAGAACCTGAATCGAGTTGTCCTTTTTCTCCTCATTTACCGCAGAAAGTCCATGAGAGTTAATTGTTTTTTCTTAAGATATTGAGCTACTTGAAGCATGTAAGGAGGAGTTCCATCGCCGTCTAAAAGTCTATCATCAATGGAGGAAGAACAATAAAGCACGCGTGACGTCAAAAGAAGGCGCTCCACAGAGAGCACCAAAGGAAGTTCAAGAAGCAGGTAACGCAATAGAAATGTCACGATGTACCTGTCACTCAATGTCGCATCATTTGAATTGCTCTCAGTGGCTTCCAGTTCTTTTCTCCCTCCCTCCCTAATTTTTTCCTTCCCTAATTCCTTCCTTCCCTAAATTCATCTTTCCTCAGTTCCTCTCGTCATTCCATATTTCCTCCATTCCTCTTATTCTTTCATTTTCTTTTCCTTCCGACTTTTCCATTTTCATTCCTATCTTTATCTCCTTTAAACTCTGGAATTCATTATATAAAAATCTCTTTGCAGCTGATGAATCTGCCCCACCWATCCCCCCACGCCCAGCTCGTGATGGTCAGCCAGAACCCCCATCCCTCCCACCTCGTGTTCTGCAAAGGTTTTTCCGTGTACCGTTTGTCAAGAAGACAGACGTYCACCGTGAATCTGAGTACAAGAAGCAAGGATGGTGGTTAGTATTAAAAGAAATGCTAAATGTTAAWATGAACTGAAAGCTAATGACGTAATGCTATGTACGCCGAGATGCACTATGGGATTGATTTAAGTTCAAACTGCAGCTGTCCATGTTGTCGTTTTTACAGGGCGTTTAACGAAGAAAATCATGACTTTTTTTCTCAGAAAGGTCTTCGAGCCATACTCTAGTGTTCAAGCATATTATTTTGTGTTCTTCTAAATCACTCTCTAATGAGTACTATTAATTTCGCAAAGAAACTTCGTTATTATTTATTTTACAAGTCATCCGCCATCTTGATTTTTTTATCAATACCATGATGCACTTCGGTGAACAAAAATGACGTCATTCGTTGAAAAAAAAAATACTCAAAAAATTCTTAGATGTCGGAAATGTTTATGATATAAAGCTTTCTTTTAAAATACTTTCCAGGTTTGCACACTTTGATGGTCAATGGATCGCTCGTCAGTTRGAAATTCACGAAGGTAAAGAACCTCTTCTTCTAATTGCCGGTCAAGATGATCTAGACATGTGTGAGTTRAGTCTTGACGAGACTGGGTTGATCAAAAGACCAAGGGCACAAATAACCCAGCAAGAATTTGAAACAATCTGGCAACGTGCTGGTGGGAAACCAGGAAAATACCAAGCAAAATTTTACCAAGGAGCGAGATAGGGGGAAGTCTCCACTGGTGGAGAACGCGAGTWGKAGTAATAGGTGGAGAACCCGAAAGCACCAAAAATTAGGAATTAAATTAAAATAAATATGAAAGTTAGGTAAGGAGTAAATATTGAATAAGTTACCGGTGATATTTAATATGAAATTAAGTGCATGAAGCTGTATTTTTGCATGTGAATCTTCTCTTTTAGGTCTAATACAATTTACATAGTTGTGTAGTTTTAATAGTGTTGTGTTGTATCTTGAGATCTTGGCTTAAAGCTAAGAAGTCATTATTATTTTCCATATTCGRTTTTTGTTTCACGCTAATATTAAAGCTTTTGTATTTGTTATTTTTTCCACCGTAGTTTTCAGTTTTTGATTTTCTCTTTATTGCAAAGGAACACTAAACATCTGTAATAGAGAATCTTTCTTGTAAAATAATCACTAATATAGCAAGATACTTCCAGTTGTAAGTTATTATAATACCATTAATGGTCAATAATTAAAGTAATTTTTTACTGGAATTCAGCTCGAATTTGTTTAAGATATCTATGATGATTTTTCTTTYCCAATATGCAATCCTGGTTGCCATGACTCCCATCCTCCAAATCCTCTCTCCAGTTCTCTCGCAACAGCTAGAGTAAGACGATCATTATCCCTAGTAGCAGCGATCTGTATTCCCAGCGGCATGCCCTCTTTATCTACTCCTAAAGGACACTGGGTAACAGCCATGCAAAGAACATTGAAAACAGAAGTATAGTTGAAGTCCAAAGGAGCCAGAAGYGGTTTGTTATGCTCCATTGCAGTTCTTGGATGAGAGGGAAACAAAAGAACWCCGTCGTCTCCTAGCAACGCGTYCAACTGCTGACGTAACTTGTTGCCAAGGGCAACAAAAGTTGACGAAAGTTTGTCATGGCAATTCAATTTCTCCAGGCAACCTACCAAAGGCGTGATAAAGTGGTAGTTTGAAAAGCCTCCAAAATATTTCACAAGTTCAAAAAAAGGATTCATTTCTTTAGAATCTTCGTGGAGAAATTTTGAAATCAAAACTTTTTCTTCGGAATTGAAAATCATTGATGCCCATATTAAAGCCGAATATCTGAACAGCTTCAGATTTGCTTTTTCTGTTTTCACTTGAAATTCTTTCTCAAGAAAGTCGCAAGCTTTTCTYTGTGCAATCAATAACTCTTCCCCAACACACGACATCAAAACRGGGTCAAAAGTATCGAGAACGAATATCTTTATCGAGCTGATATCGACGTCTTCGTGAAGCTTCAATCGATATATTGTCGGCGATGCCATTGCTTTGAGCATTAAAGGAAGATCTTCGGCGTAACGACACATTGGGCCAATCGTTAAGTATTCSTTGAATGTTGACGTGGTGCCGTACGGRAAATGCCCTTCATTTGGGATGATACCAGGACTTGGTTTGTGTCCAAATATGCCATTAAAGAAGGCGGGCATTCGAATACTACCTCCTGAAATAAAATGGTGCTTATTGTAAGCAATAACGTATTTTATTACGTTGGGGATACATAGGGCAGCCGGCACTTTCCCACTCTCCTTTCCCTTAAGTGGTTGCAACCCGGCCCCCCAACTCCCGGAGAGGGTCAGGGAATTCACACTATAGCCGGGGATTAACCTGTTTTAACAGCAAAGTGCCGGTCTGAATTAACATCCGAATAAAAAAAAGTGATGTTTAATTTTTAGTCCCCATTTTTTGGCCTCTCAGGGCCGAGAAATACTGCACTTTAACGTGGTTGGAAATTGATTCCCCCGGTATTGCCCGAGGGTCGGGGACCGTGGTTTCAATTGACATATGCATTAATCGGACATACCAACATCGGATCCTATGCCACACAAGGATCCAGCCGCAGCAATAATGGCGCCTTCACCTCCAGAACTTCCCCCGGCGATCCTGGTCGTATTATGGGGGTTATTAGTCCGACCATTCACCATGTTCGTCGTCTCCCACCACATACATAGCTCGCTRCAGTTCGTTACAGCAATCGGAATTGCGCCGGCTTTACGAAGATTTTTCAAGGCAGCSGAATCGCTTTCGGCGATAATGTGTTTKCGCTCGACAATTCCCGAAGAATGTGACATACCCTGACAAGATATCGATTCTTTGACTGTCAAGGGCACTCCGAGGAGAGATTTCTGACGTAATTTGTGTTTTTCCTCTTCGGTTCCACGCGATAAAACATCATCRATAGCTCTTGCTTCTTGGAKAGCATCTTCAAAYCGATCATTTACGATAGCATTAATCGCGGGGTTTACGTGGCGAATTCTTAGTATATAAGCAGTCACGACGTCCTCGGCCTTTATAATTCCATTGCGTATTTTTTCTGCGACAGCTCTGGCGGGTAAATAAAGCTCAGGAGTTTTCGCTTTTTCAATWACATGTCTTTCTTTTCCATAACATAGTGCCTTTAGATACAACCGTAYTTCCCATAAAAACCCAAGGCTAGCAACAGCTCGTAATAATATTGATAAAATCTCCAGAATCATTCGAAGAAGGCCCATTTTAAGCCAGATATTATATCAACGTGTCTACGTTAAAGGAGAGTGTCATTTGACAAACAGGTATGCAAAAAAGATTATTCAAATTTTTGACTTTGKGTCAACATGTGGTTGTCTCGGCATCTCTAATTGGCTGGTGGAGCTCCGTTTCGAGACCATTCAGATTAAACCCATAATATCTGCTAATTCAGTTTTTGTTTAGTAAGTGTTTGTGTCTTTTCCAGTGAAGATAAATTCCAATTAAAAATTAATGATTGCTATAGTATACGGCAAAGACACCGATAAGCTAAACTTGTATTTAGTGTGCTTTCAAATTAAGGCAGAATTACTGGCCGGCCAGTCCACTCTATTTAGAGGTATATATTGCTTTTTGTCAACATTTTTCAGTCATTTCGAGGTTTTCTGTAGAATAATGGATAGAATTTGAAAATTTGAATTTCCTAACTAAATAGGAATGATATATAATGACATTTTCTCTGGATCTGGCCAGCCAATTCTGACAAATGGAATAAAGCGCACTTAGCATCTGCCATACTGTGGGACCGCCGGCAGCTTCTCGTAGTTTCACTTTTCTAAAGCACAACCGTTGCGAATTAGACAGGAGTTTCACTGATAGCCAAAAGCACTCTCAATAATTCACAGTTGCATGAATATACTTCAKTGATAATTTAGCATAAAATTATTTCGTCTGTAATTTCTTTTCATGCGGCACGTGATTTTTTTTTCACTCCTCGTTCCCACATTGTGAAACATTAATTGCCAAAGAAATGTCAGAGAATACTATGCAAATTTTATTTCTACAATCTTTAATTTCTATGAAATTCGACGTAAAAAATGCTATATTTAGAAAAAATGAAAACATTTCAGATACAAATACTTTATTCAAATTTCCTGTTCCTTGAATCCAGTAAAAAGAAATATGACTATCGTATCATTGCGACATGTATGAGGCCTGTGTATATTCATTAAAGATAACTACTACTGATCTAAAACGATTTTTGAGTGAGCTAGGTCCATGGCTATGCRTTTGGTAGCATTTTTGTGTTGTTYTTCAATCAWTGTGAGACGAAGAACACTACGAAAATGCRTCGAGTAAGGCCCGAATGAATCCCGAGTGAGGCCCGARTKGAAGTTTACAATAATCCCTGGCGACTAAGATCCTCRAACACTTTCTTGTTGACGACGTTTCCCTTCGAGTCTTCGCATTCCTCCTGAAAATATACAACATACGAGGTCAATATTGTATCATGTTGACTCCTAAACAGCCAATCAWATTGAATCAGTCACGTGACTTTTGGTAAATACATATTTGTACATACATCCTGRTCYGCTTGCCATCTCTCCTTTGAYTTGGTTGACTTGAGCTTCTGCCAAACTGTAATAAAGAAATAATTCGCTAAGTTMACTGGGCAATTTTCAATACGACTTAAACATACAGCAAAAGTTCCCACCCCAAAAATTTGTGGAACTGGTTKGCGCTCKAACGTACAACCGCRAGTTACGTTAGCAAGAAAATTTGTGRAACTGGTTTGCGCACGGCATGCGTATWTCTAACTGCGTCTTCGATACGTTACGKAGCAARAGWARTTACGGAAATACATACGTGCAACAGCGTCTTCGATAAGAGTTACGTTAGCGAAATGAGCCGTGTTTGGTATTCCAAGACATCTCATTCCATGTGCGTGACGCCATTCCTAAAAAAAATACAGCAGTGATTTAACCAAAACGACTTTTAAAAAGTTCGCTGCATTTGCTATTTTTCAATCTAATTTGATCAGGAAAAAAAAATGAATAAAAACCAGGACGCGCAAATATACTCAAGTTGTTAACAAAAATGCACGATTTTATCTTGCGCAATCACAAGTCGTTTTATTTCTGACTTGCTCCGATCTTTGTTACTAAAACGTCTGACCAATCATTTCTCACATTATATCTAGGCGTTCAAAAAGCAATAAGACTTACAGCAAAGTGTCTTTGGAAAGCTTTAGGACCCCTAAAAGATATAAATACATTAGAAAGGAGAAAAAAGATCATGAATCGATAAAAAGCTGCCTCACCTGTAGGTTTGGTTTCCACAAATCTCACAGCTGTAGCTAATGTTAAGACCATGTAGTTTATATAACCAATATGGAATAGGCTGGAAAGAAAAACATTTCATTGAACTTAACGTTACAATAATACAGCTTAGAAGTCGCTAATAACATTGTTAATTGTATTCGTTTCACGTTGTTTAATGACTTTCTTTTTACAAGTACAGAATACAGCTGTTAGCCGAAGAAAAAATAGCAACAACAACAAAACAACCCCAATTATTTCACGAACAATGAAAAGGTTGTTATTTCTGTTGTAATACCTACCTTGCCATCCCAGCCAAGGGGCAGGTTTTTAGGGTTGTATAAAACAGTCTCCTCATCGTCTGATTCTGATTCATGACCTTCCTCGTGTTCCTCCTCCTCCTAAAAGATGAAATGATAAAATTATTGTTAAACTTAATCATATTTGATGTTAATAATATATAATTGTGAAATTACAGAGKCTGGTATGTTGCTTGATGAGCTTTGGCTTTCTAAGATGCATTTAACAGTTACCTCGGGCTGTTTATCATCTCAACCACAGGCTGTTAAATAGTTACATTAATATAATCTGTAGTATTAGTACCTCTAATTCATCTGAAGTTCTTGCTTGTTTTCTTTCTACATTCTCACGAGTAGCTTGTCGTTGTTCCTTTAAAACATAAAATACTTCCTTTAAAAATTTTGATTCTTCATTCTCCCTTAAAAACGTTTTTTGAAAAAACTGTACAGTCATGAATTCTAGTTAGTTGTCATGTAGATTGAGGACCAAATTTTCATTGTTGTTGCTGTTGTCATTGTTGTTGTTATGTGTTGCTGTTGTTGTTGTTGCTGTTGTTGTTAATGTTGCTGTTGCTGTTGTTGTTAATGTTGTTGCTGCTGTTATTGTCTCTGTTGTTGTCATTGTCGTTGTTGTTTTTCTTTGTTTTTCTTAAAGTATAACAGGCTACAGTTTACTTAGTGTTTCACAGGTTAGCTGCAATGACTCTACAAAATGTTAGTCTACATCTTAAAATCATATACATACCCCTAACAGTTCAGTCAAGTGATAGACTTGGGCTTCTAGATTTGCTATTTCCTTTTGCTTCTCAGAGCTCTCTCTACATGAATCAAAGTGATAAGATTAAAACCTCTTGTCATTTCTCTGGCATTTTGTACATGTACTGTATCCTTTTACCTTCCTTTTCCTGCCCTTGATTTAGCAAACAATGATGGWTCAAGCTTCTCTAAAGGTACACCTAAAACACAATAAAATAATAACATTAGTCAATTAATTTAAAGCTGTTGATTATCTCAAATTTAAATGGAGCTTATTGTCCCACAAAAATATCAATTTTTGATACCTTTTGTGGAGAACAACCTCTGGGCTCTCTCTTCTAGTGTACTACAAAAATTTAATGCAGACAATATAAGTGGAAAAACATTAAGCTTACATGTACTTTTAAGTCTTCTCAGATAAGGGAGATATTTGGGTGGATGTAAATAAACCAATGGGGGTTTAACAAACTCTGGCTGTCACCACCCCTAGGGGAGTCCATGATTGGCCTCTCACTATTGTGGATAAACAAATAAATATAAAGTCTTTTATTTTGAGAGGGTAGCACGTAATAGTCTCTAGACTAATAAACTTGTGGCCCTCTATATATTCACTCACACTCACTACCTCAACATTCATTATTTTACTACACGACACTCCTCACAGCTACAGACACAGTAGATAACCCATGAACCTGGGAAAAAGCTAATTCATAAATCAGCAATGAAACCAAAAGAGGCTGGTATACTGGTAAACGTTCCAAGCATCCAAACCAGTAGCATATCAAGCCTGATTCAATTTTACATGTTCATACATTTTTGCTATTCAGACTCACCCTCCACACTTAAGACCAAGAGCTTGCAATGCTCGTTTAAGCCTATCCAGACCTAACGAAGCAAGTTCCTACAAAAAAATAAATTAACTTCAACTTACAAAAAAGACACTTGTATCTACTTTTCAAAGTGGTSATTTAGTAAGAGTTGGCTTTTGAATATAGATTGGATAGAGAATAGACCTTTTGCATGAAATGTTCACTAAATCCACCATACTGGATGGCAAAATCTCCACTGGGATTTTCAAAACAAAGGAAAGTCAAGCTGGGGGGGCTATGTTCCTTTTGTTTTTGAGGTTGTTCACATTCTTTTGCCATACATTATAGCATTTAGTACCATGTGACCGTTTCATGCGAAAGGCCTACTGGATATGTTCATTGTGGCCGCCTTAGACGGTGATAATTTGATCGCTTCATAGAGTGACTACTTTATCTATTTTGTACTTCAACTTTTGCAACTTACCTCTGGAGATGAGAAAGCTGATAAATCTAGATGTGCTCCTGAGTGAGTTAACGCACTACTGGCATCTTTCTGTCAATAAACGCATT